TGTGGAATGATTATGGATATATATATGCTAGTGTTACATATTTATTTTCTTTTTCATCGAAGGTAAAATTGAAAAGAAAATCTGTGGCTTAGAGGCCTAATGCATTCCTTGATTGGCCGTACTCTCTTCTGTGGACTGCAGTTTCGCCTATTCAACTTTCAAGGCTCATCAACATAGCTTAGGTCAGCAGACTAAAGAAATATAGATAGGCCTCTTCCAAATGTTGATGCGTATATAATACCTATGGGGTTTTTGATTCTTCTGTATCAGCATACTGTAACCTATATTAACAGATGAATATTAAATGGCTGTAACATGTACATACTCAATGCTTTGTACACTATACAGTCGGTGTCTTGAGGGAGCCAAACCCTATATGTATGAAGTGACGGAGTAAAAAATAACAATACACGCAATATTAAATTTTATTACACACATTCATAGAATAATTACTTCAAAAGACATGAAGGTTTATTTAAAGTGATGTTTTAGACATATATGTTTTATTTGAAAAGGCTGCTTTTCTACTGGTAAACTTTTATATGCACTTCATGGGAGTTGTGTCTTACTCTAGGCATATCCCCATTTCTATGCATTATATATAGAGAATTTAGTTACACAGAAACTATAAATGCTCACTATATTCTCAAACAAATCTTCATGACAATATCCAGCTGCAGTTTAACATTTTACATCTTGAACTAATGTGATCAATTAGTCAATAGCTACAGTAAATCATCATGAACCACATCATCTAGCTACTAGCTGTGCTTATTATCATTACAATGTATAAAGTTAACTACCATATTAAGTAGTCCTTTGCCCATAGTTGAGCATACAAAAAGCCAGCAAACAAGATAAATAAAAATTTAGAATTTAAAAACCTGCAAATTGGGATCATAAAAAAAAAAGTAAGGAAACAATGCTGGAGATAGTGTATACATTATTTATTCAAACTACAAGAACCTATTTTGGCTCCATGCTGTTATCTAGAACTACATTTGGTGGAGTCAAAAATTATTAGACATTATTACTCAAACTACAAATTCTAAGGATTTTGATATAATGGGAATAACTGAAACATGGTTAAACATAGATGATTTTCATGACAGAAATTTTTAGAAATACAGGGTTACGGGCTATGTAATAGGGATAGAATATTAGAGAGATGGGAGGGGAGGAGTGGCTTTATGTGTAAAATGTGAGTTATATCGTGTTGAAGTTGAGGATAGCAAGGAGATTGAATCCATTTGGGTTTCTATTAGTGGATATAAAGGGAAAAGGCTTTTAGTGGGAACTTGTTACAGACCACTAAATGATACTGATGAAATTAATGAGAAACTTTACAATGAGATTAAGATTTCAGCTGTTAATGAAGTCGTAATTATGGGTGATTTTAATTTCAGGCAAATATATATTGGAAAATTCTAAAGTGAAACCATGAGGGAGAAAGGTTTTTGGAAACTGTTCAGGATGGCTTTCTTTACCCATTAGTCAAGGAACCTACTAGAAACAATGCTATTTTAGATTTATTGTTAACTTCAAATATAGAAATGATCAAGATGGTCGAAATTGGGGAACATCTGGGTACAAGTGATCATTGATCTATTAGGTTTGATGTTTTGCTGCATATGGAGATAAGGAATAACGATATTTTGGTTACAAATTTTGAAGGGATGCGACAGGAATTACTTGTAAATTGGGGAGATGAGTTACTTGGAGACACTGATAAAACGTGGAAAATTTTTAAATATTCGAGATAAACATATTCCTTATAGAAAAAAAAGGTAGCTGCAAATAACAAAACCAAGTTGGTTCACAGGAGATTTAGAAGATCAAGAAAGTTGGTGAAATAGGAAATTAGGACATCAAAAAGAATGTATGAAAAAAGGTTGGCTGAAAATGTAAAAATTAACAGTAAGGATTACTTTAAATACATTAAGGGTAAACAGCCACTCTTCTATCCAGTTAGCTAATTTATCCCCTACACCTACAGAGATAATTTCTTTACAAGCCTTTTATGTGGCACCTGGTCAAATGTTTTCTGAAAATCCAGATACACCAAATCTACATCCTTACCCTCATGTACATAAGCAGTAACCTTTTCAAAGAGTGTCAAAAGATTTATAAAGTAAGAATTTCCCTTAGTGAAACCATGTTGACTATCCAATTAAATTCTCAACCTTGTTAAATGTCATTACAAAATATCTTTTATCAGACTTTCCAAAGCTTTTCCCACAACTGATGTAAGACTAATGGACTTATAATTACTAGGACAATTTTTTATCTCCTCCCTTGAAAATAGGAGTTACATTAGCTAACTTCCAATCCTTTCCCACTATTCAAGGACTGACAAAAAATAGTAGCAAGTGGTTCACATATGTAATCTTTAGTCTCCTTCAAAACCCTTGGGGAAATATTACCTGGCCCAGGAGCCTTATCGTTTTTTAAACTTCCCAATTTATTTTAACCAGCTCAAAATTAATACAGTCATCTTATTTGATCTCTTTTCCATTATAAACTGTTCAAGATGTGGAATACTGATTATATCTTCTTTAGTAAAAAAAAAACAAAGAAAAAACATAATTTAATAACTCATCCATCCCATAATCATCAGACTCAAGCCTTCCTTTATCATCCCTCAAAGGTCCTACCCTCATCCTAACATTTTATGGAAGGATGGCTTAAGAGACTGATCAACTATTACACCAAGATCCCTTTCCTTCATAACACTGTTAAGGTTATCCACATCCAAGTTATACTTATAATTCAAATTATGACAACCCATAGACATTATCTTGCATTTGTTATATTTAAAACCCATCTGCCATTTATTTGTCCAACTCACTAAATGATCTAAATCCTTTTGTAAATCAGCAGCATCCTCTTCACAACTAGCAACATCCAAGACCTTAATATCATCTGCCAATTTAAGTACTTTATTGACCGTTCTTTCATCTATGTCATTGATGTAAATTAAACAGAGCAAAGGTCCTAATACTGAGCCCTGAGGTACCCCACTTGTGATATTAATCCAATTTGACTGAACTCCATTTATAACTACCCTCTGCTTTCAAGCAGTGTGCTGTTGCTAGTGGTAGGGCAAATAGGATTTTAGGATGTATATACAGAAATATTGAATACAAATCTAAAGAGGTAATAATATCATTGTACAGGTCACTGGTTAGGCCACATTTCAAATATTGTATTCAGTCTTGGGCTCCTTACCTTACGAAAGACATTGAATTGTTGGAAAGGGTTACTAGAATGGTGCCTGGGATGGAGGGTTGTCATATTGTTTTCTCTTGAAAAAAGAAGAGTTCAAAGGGATCTGATTGAGGTATTTAAGATTGTAAAGGAAACTGATAGTGTTGATGCATCCTCTTTTTTCATATTTAAGAGTGAGAATAGCTAAAACAGTTTCATTTTTTGAACAGGGTGGTTGGCCTTTGAAATGAGTTGCCTTTCGATGTTGTAAAGACAGTAAATTTAAGTGAGTTTAAGGAAAAGCTTGATAAGTATATGAATGATAAGGGCTGGCTTTAAGATCTTTTTTTAAATAATTTTAATTTAGTTTAGAGGATGGAACAGCCAAGATGTACCAATAGGTCCCATGTTGTCCCAGAACATTATGTTATGTTATATGAACAAAAAAGATTACTTTAATACCAGATACTTAAATTTAGGTGTTTTATAAAAGCACTTTGGCCCTAGGCACTTTTGTAGAAGATGTTTATGCCATCCATTAATCTAATTTTAGATTTGGCTTCATCATATGTCTCATCGCTAACCCCTCTCCAGTGGACTGAATATACATTGCATTTGATGCCAAATTACCACAATAATTGCTGATACTCATATACGTTTGAAGAATGATACAAAAATATCTGAAAATGTTCATAACTCACCCTGTTTCTTGTTCTCCAGACATCTGAGAAGACTCTTGGATTTGCTCCTGTTCTGGAAATATTATCATGTACAGCTTATTAGAAAAGAGGTTTTCTGAACAAGAATAACCAGAATAAGGTATCAGAATGAATTCACAGGAGCAATCTTAAAATTATCTTTATCTATATGTAAATTTAAAAAAAATATCTCAAATAAATTTTCTTTTAACTCATAATGTGAAATTAATTTAATAAAATGTAATGTATTAATATTATATTCAATTACATCAGTTATCTGTACAATTAATAACTTCAAAATGATTTATTTAAATTACAGTAATAACGTTGTACAGTAAAATTATTCACTATAACATATTCTATCACACTCTATTTTTAGAATACTGTTGAGTCTCTGTTCGTTGATAATTTCCTGTAGAAATTCTATCCGATAAACTATAGTGATAAAAGTCCTTTCTTAATTAAAACTAGTTTATTCTTTCTCGATAAAACTTTGCAATACACAAAATTTCCACAGTCAATACGTTTGTAATCTAGATAACAAAACACACACTTTATATTACCGTCACTACTGCTCGCTTGACTCAATTATCTGTCTCTATATCTATCTATCTGCAATCTTATCTCCGCTTTATTTGCCTGGCTTATATACAAAAATAGAGGGCGTCTGGCAAACACTACAGTTGCCAGGAGCAGTCATGATCCTTCTAGAAACTCAATGACGTATTACCAACGTCACGTGACTTCCGCTGTCGTAACACTGCCCCTTCCTTAGTATTGTTCGTCCCGAACAATAGCCACTTACCTTAACCCAATAGATAATTAAATGTACAGAATTTACAAACACAAAATTAAAATACAACAAATGCTCCTAATTTTACAGGACGTATCTTCTTCCGTACTGGCCTCTGTCTCGTTGGCTTCTGCTTCACGTGGGGTTCATCTGCTCCATCAGGAAAATGTCCTGTTATCGGTAACAGTCACAACAGTGGTAGTAACTTCATTAACGGCTTCAATGTTTTCCTTCTCAAAACCGGGTAGAGTCTCTTCTTCGACAGTGGCTTTTTCAGGTGACACTTCTTCAGCAGCGTCATTTGTTCCGTTGTTCACTTCGTTCCAAATGAAATGTCTTGGACTGTGATAACGCCAAAGCCTGTTGGCATGCACCACCTTTGGCTTACCTCGCCAATCACATTTTATCCAGAAAGTCGCGTCTGAGAGACGATCCACTATGTCATATAGGCCTTCCCATGGAGAAGACAACTTAGGAGACTTCCCTTTGATTATACAATCACACCTTGTCTCCTGGTACAAAGCTGACTTCAGTAGATCTCTTATCATAAGTTAACTTCATCGAATCAGCAGACGTTTTCAAGTTTGAACGCACTTGATGGAGGATATCATCCATCCTTTCCGATAACACTTTCACAAACTCTGACACATTCTCAGGCAACTCTTCATAAGGTGGGTGTCCTGTTAACAGATCCACTGGCAACTGAAGTTCCCGACCAAACATCAACTTTGCTGAAGTGTATCCAGTGGTTTCATGCTCTGCTGTCCTATAGGCCATCAACAGTGGAGGGAGTAAAACATCCCAGTCATCTTGGTGGCTATTACAAAACTTTGCCAATTCCTATCCCAGTGTCCAATTGTATGCCATCGGACTGTGAGTGAAGTG